AAATGGTCTGCTTCTCATGTGCCAAGCCAAAAGGAGACGCTAGAGTTTCTTCTAAGGCAAGCAAGAGGCAAGAGGCTTTTAATAGTGCATACAATTTTGCGGCCTTTATCAAGACTATATCGCGTAAAATAGGTACATTTTCGTAAAAAAAAAAAAAAAAAAAAAATACACCTTATAACAGTCTAAATCTATTTAATGTGTAGTTTTACCTCATTAGTTGAAGTACGTCCGTTTTTCTCCTTTCAATCTTTCTTCAAGTTTGTTTCGATTTATTCTCTGCAATGTCTTCTCTTATCTTGTCCGATTCAATTGTCTTCCTTTGTTTTCTTGTGTTATAAGTAACATGTCCGCAATAAATCCTTAAGAACAGAAATGGTGCTCTGTATGATTCTGCAAGATTTTATACACTCTTCAAAGTCATTCTAGATTCTGTAATAATTAAGGATGTTATACCAGGTAGCAGCAAAGAGCATTATATAGCTGCAGAGTTAGAGAAGTTTGGACATCCAAGAAAATCTTGTCAAACATTTTCGTTTCAAGAACTATCAGTTGCTACCGATAATTTCAACCCTAACTGTCTTCTGGGTGAAGGTGGATTCGGTAGGGTCTACCGAGGATACGTACAGAATCTGAACCAGGTTTCTCTCTTTTTTCCTTCTGTATGTTTGTTTATATGTTAGTATACAAATAATAGATTTGTTTTTTTTTCATTTTTTTTATTAATTTAAACTTTTTGTATGATAGAATATAATCAATTATTTAACATGGTATACTTATAGTGGGAATATGTTTGTTTTTGGAAGATTACTAACTCTGATTTTTACAGGTTGTGGCAGTGAAGCAACTCGACAGAAATGGACTGCAGGGAACTAGGGAGTTCTTTTCGGAAGTTCTGATGTTAAGTCTCGTCCAACATGCGAATCTTGTCAATCTGATAGGCTATTGTGCAGATGGCGATCAAAGAATTTTAGTCTATGAATACATGCGTAATGGATCCTTAGAGAATCACCTCCTTGGTATAGTTTCTTTTTTTTTTTTTTTTTTATCAGTTTTGTCTTTAAGCCTTTTTCTTGGGTAAAAATCAGCACTTTAAAGCTTTAAAATTGAAAATATGCAGTCAATAACAGACAAGGAAGTGAAGCTATAAATGCTTATTGAATATCTATATTCTTGTTGGGTCTATACTTGATTCATGCTTTCATATAAATATATTTAGGAAATGCATCAATATGTTCGAGTTCTAATTACATTCTGTATCTAGAGGCTTTGTCATTAAGCTGTATATAATGTATTTCTGGGGCTTTATCTTTTTCTCCAGATTTAAATCCAGGAGTGAAGCCT